CAAACACACACACTCATCTTTCACTTTCCCATTTCCACAGCAAATAAAGCTGCTGATCCTGCTTAGTTCAAGATCTTTTCTGTGTCAGTTTCACCCCTAACCTCTGCTTTCCCTGGTTCAATCCTCTTTGCTCATTCTCTCAGCCTCTTCTCTCTCCCTCTCTCTCTCTCTCTCTCTCTCCCTCTCTCCCTCTCTCCATGAAGTCATGTTTTTAAACAGAACTCCATAGGCAAGGAAACCAGCAGGTCCTCACAAAAGTCTCAGGTAGCACAGGGGCCCCTGGGGATTATAGTTATAGGGCCAGACACAAAGAGCTTTCTCTCTCACACTCAATTACACGTTCTCAACATCCAAAAAGCACTTCCTTCTCCTAATCCTTTTCTTCGCTCTTAACTGCTGTCATTGTCCGCTGAAGGAATAATACAGAACGTGTTACGCGCACACATGCACACGCACAATGAAGTGTTTAACACACATGGAATGACTAAACATGTTTGTTTCTCTGAACTGACAACAACACACATATAATTATACACTTATTTGTGTTTCCTTTTTATCGGTCAAGAAAAAGTAGGCTTAAACTTGTTAAAATATGTGTCCTAATGTTTTTATTATCCTTTCTCTTTATTTTGATAGTCTTAACTATCCCAAACGGTCTCAGAGAGTTTTACTGTTACAAAAACACCGTTCGTTATAACTTTGTGTGACTTACCTGTCCACTTTGATGATGTTCTGTTTTTCCTATCCTTTTGTGTTTTTCAATCAAAGTTTAAACTCCACTCGGACGCTCCTCGGTGTTTTCTTTCTCTTTAAAAGCCTTTAAAAACCTCTTGGTGTGTTCATTTCATCAAAGCGGCGCACACTAGATGTTTTCCGGGAAGTTTTCAATCATGACATTTCCAGACAAACTCCGGTAAAGTCCATCATCGCGGCTCGTTCGCCGGGAATTACACACACAGTGCTTGCTAAAGCAGCCTCTGACCAGAGGCGTGGCCACGCCCACATCAGTGACGACATCTCAGGTCCAGGTGTGCTAAAGCGGGATTGCATTTACGTCCATATCACTCAGAAAAGAGGCTTTATGACTGCGCTTTAAGAAAGAGACTGTAGGAAAATGCCTCGAAAAAATATGATTAATTTAGACTGTTTATCTATTAATTGGTCACCACACACTGTCTGTCAGGGCAGGGTTTAGTGATTTAGGGGCCCTAAGCAATTCGAGCCTTATGGGACCACCACGAAGTCCTACAGTAATATGCACTCTTCGTATTTGTATTTATTTAGCTGGCTTTTTCTTATATCACTCACTCTTACTTTCTATACTCTTATCTCAACAAAATTACATTTTACATTATAGTTACATTTTAAATTATTATTATTGTTATTTATTATTATTTTTTTGCTTAAAAAGGAGTTCACAACTAAAATAATGAACAAACTATTTGGTTTTATGTTGAATTTTCATCTGATTTGACTGCTGGACTGATCCATGATTGAGTTGTGGGGACACAATTGTGCAGATGTACTAATTAAGGTAAATTTGTATTTGTTAGACCCTTATTCTAGAAGAAAATGTCATTACAGATAATTTCTAAAAACTCAGGTATTCATTGTGGGCTCCCAGACTTCCTGGAGCCCTAAGCAGCAGCTTACACTCTCAGAAAAAAAGGTAGCCTATACACAGTGGTACAAATAATGTTCCCTATGGAACAGTTTTATATCTTTGTACTGTAAAAGTTATACCATATATGACACAGAAAAGAACTCTTGTTCTGTACCTTTTATGGTACAATTGAAATGAAGGTACACAATTGTTCTAAAAGCGTAATAAAAAAAAAGCGTACATAAGTGTTGGACAACTTCTTTATTACAACTTCTACTTTATTATCTATGGAAGTATTACAAAGGCAAAGTGGTTTTGAATAATTTTTAAAACATGAAAATATTAAAACATGAATCATCATTTAAAAGCATGTTTAATGAAACTTATAAACATTAATTATTATTAATATATATAAGTTCTATAATACAAAACAACTGGTAAAACAAAACTAAAGATATTGTAAACTAAACATTTAAGGCATTTTAAATTAACGTTTTCTAAGCATTTTCTGATAAATCTCCCCCTTTTGGCATTTAAAAATAAGTAAATTAAATTAACCTTTAAGTGATTACAAAGGTATTGTGTGTAAATCTGAGAAAAAAAAAGTTTTATATTGTACATGGGAGAATGTATTTCTGTAACATTTTTGTGAAAGATGTTGTGAGACGTTCAGCTAAAAAAAAAAAAAAAAAATATATATATATATATATATATATATATATATATATATATATATATATATATATATATATATATATTGATTTGTTATATTTTGTACTTTCTTGTAAATGTAAAAGATGCATTCACACAAAAATAAACTTTTTTTAAAACATTTATTAAAAATGTGTTTAATGTTCTATATTTACTGTAAATAAATTGACACATTTTGGATATAGCAAAATGCCTTTAATTAGTTCCTGAAGGAACACATTTGACACTGTTAAGGTACAAAGTGTCTTGTCACTGTAGTTGTACCTTCATGGATCAGGTTTGTACCTTTAATGAAGGTAAAATATTGTATCTGCAGGTACATTTTGGTTTCCCATGGTACAAATCATGTCCTTAAGGTACAAACTGCAATGATACAAATTTGTTGCTTGGTCTTAAGGTACAATTCTGTTTCATAAAAAGGTAGTGGACTAGTGACAAGGGTTTCTACCTTCTTTGGTACAACAGTGAACCATTTTTTCTGAGAGTGTACTTATTGGATAAATCTGCCCCTACACACTATAAATAATGCTGGGATTCGTTCGGTTTCAACACACAATCGATTTGTGTTTAGACAACATGAAGGAATTAAGTTAACTTATTAGTTTTTTATTTAAGTGGATTGAACATTAAACAATTAAGTTGTCTGCTAAAAAAACTCAATAATTGTGTTGCTTCTGCTCATTTTAGATATGTAGTTTGAACAAACAACAAACAGAGTGTGCAGGCTATCTACACTCATAAACCAATGAATTAATTGGTTTGGATTGGATAGGATTTCAAAAACTACTCAATAAAAGAAACAGCTGGATTTTTGGACACGAGCATAACTACATAAAATACATTAAAATAATTTCCTTTTTAAATAATTAAAACATCAAATAATTTCCTAATTTCCTAAATGATTATTATTTCATATTTTACCATGATTTACCATATTTTTTTATTAATCATTTAATTAGATACTAATATTTTACATTTGGAACTTAGAGATAATTGAGAGTTTTCTCATTACTTATTAATTTTCAAATTAATTAGTAATAAAACAATAAATAATTTCCTAATTTCCTAAATTATTTTTAGTTCATATTTTACCATGACTTACCATATTTTTATTATTAATCATTTAATTTGATACTAATATTTTAAATTTGGATCTTAAGAGATAATTGGGTTTTTTCATTACTTATTAATTTTCAAATGAATTAGTAATAATAACTTATAATAATAATAATTTATGATAACTGATTTCTTTTGCCTTTTCCATGATGAAAGTATGTGGTTCAGCTGGGTGCAATTTAAACACTTAACACATTCTGAAAATGTAGCCCTATTTACATTTCTGGAGATCACGAAATATGTAGCCAGAAATAAGTATGGCTGTATTTCATCTTAAAAATGAACACTACAGGGAGATATGACGTTGTTTTTGTTCCCGCTTACCAGCTAAATGCTTACCTCCGTATGGACGGCTTTCCAGCTGTTTGTCCAGTAGCTCGCATGTACGTTGGCGAACTTGAAATTCAGAGAAGAGTTGACTGCGATGACAGGATTCGAATCTTGTGAAGAATGGCTCCAGAAGGCAGTTCAGACAAAAACAGAGGATAAAAAATAAAATAAACAAGTAAATAACGGTGAGAATGTGGTAAAATCTGAACACATGGTAAAAATTAGGCGAGGGCTTTTCTTTTTCTGGATTGCTTTTTAAAACTGTAGGTTGGGTTTAGGGATATGGGTGGGTGGGTCAATCAGTGCTTTTGAAAACACTATTGGTTGGGTTTAGTGAAGGAGGAGGGTGGGTCAGTCGATTGGTCAGTCAGTTAGCTGGTCGACAGCAGATTTCTGCGAGAACAGCAGGCGCGAATGGCACTCACAAGAGAAAATTGAGATCTGTAAAAGCACACACAGCAGACTCTGGTGGATTTGAGAAAACAAAAACTGCAAAAAAATGTAGCTTCTGGGACGTAGTTGGCACACTCCAGAAATGTATATGAGGGTACATTTTCAGAATGAGCTTGAGTAAGTAGGAAAGTTAATGACAACAGTTCTGGGCGATGATAATACTGACCCTAAAAAAATAAATAAACAGCTTTTATTAAAGGCCAAACTAAATAAAATAAGGGATGGGAATTGATGGGAAATAAACAAATTTCACAGGTGGGCTAATATTTTGGCTTTCAACTGTAAATTATACTGGGGCTGCACGGTGGCGTAGTGGGTTCGTCTCACAGTAAGAAGGTCACTGGTTCGAGCCTTGGCTCGGTCAGTTGGCCTTTCTCTGTGGAGTTTGCATGTTCTCTTCATGTTTGCGTGGGTTTCCTCCGGGAGCTCCGGTTTCCCCCATAGTCCAAACACATGTGGTACAGAATTGGGTAGACTAAATTATCCGTAGTGTATGTGTGAGAATGAGTGTATATGAATATTTCCCAGAGATTGGTTGCAGCTGAAAGGGCATCCGCTGCATAAAACATATGCTGGATAAGTCGGTGGTTCATTCCGCTGTGGCGACCCCTGATTAATAAAGGCTCTTAGCCGAAAAGAAAATGAATGAGTGTATATTATACTGAAACATCATTATATTGATTATTAAACTGATGTTGGTAAATATTTTTTACTAAACATAACTAATTTTATTTTAGAATTTGTTGCCAAGTTGTACTGAAACAAAATTAACCAGTCAAGATTAAATTGAAGGACAAACTGCTTTTTAATTTACACCAAGCAGAATAAAGCAAACCAAGACATACACAAAATCAAAGCAAGTATAAAAACCGCATGCAGCGAATTACCAAATGACATTTTTAAAAGACAACAGTATCAAATAACACACAAACAAAACTCTTTAAACATTTGCAAACACACAAGAAAATGAGACACACAAATACTGCATAATAAAATCTGATACACAGAGAACGCCGCCTCATTCAGGAAAAACACACACTCACTAATCTGACATGCTCTATTCAAAAACATAAATAAACCAGTTTTCTGTTGACACGCGTGATATGTTGAATTGTGATGTTAGCGAATTACAACCCAACCAAATGTTACATAACAGAAAACACTGTAACATTCTTGCAAGTCTATAGTATAATATAGTATACAAAATATATCATGACAACAATATAGAATTTGTGCGGTATTCACATTACAAATTGAATATAGGCAACAGTGTAAGAAGGTAAAATGTTGTAATGTCTGGATAATGGAAGACTTTTCAAACTAAACCGTGATTTTAAACCTACAAGGAAGACCGATATTGTTTGAGGGAAAAAAAATTATTTGTTGATATATTTTTTACATAAAAATATAAGTTCAGCACTTTCAACAGTTAACTTAATATAGTTTGACATTCAAGGCAATATTTAGTGTCTAGAATAATTCAAGCAGCATTTTATAAGTTTGCTCAACACTGCGTGACACCATTCAAGTACATATAAAGCAGCTCTTCATGTGAAATCTCTGTTGCTCAAACATGACCGAGTAAAGTAGAGAAGTTGTAAAGCTGCTAACTGCTTTAATTTATAACAGCTACCATCCTTGCCCGAAGATGACCGTACTGAAGATGTCTAACTAAATATTAAACACAAAATATCGCACAATATTTGAACTACAGTTGAGCTATACTGAAGAAAAGGCCACCAATAATAATATGAATATAGTTTGGTCTCTAATAGAAAAAGTATTGGTTAAAAGCAGATCGTTAACTCAGCTTCATGTACTTCCAAATACATCATTTATTTGTTCATCTTCATAACAAAAATGACATTTTTGTAATTGAATCTAAGATTCCAATCTTAGTCTGTCGTTTACTTAAAATTGTAGTGAAAACGGGGAAATGTTCTACTTCAATGTTTAAAATCAAACTGACATATCACTTATGATTATTCTGTGAGTTTTAAAAATGGTGATTTTTTATTTAAAGGCACAGTATGTAATTTTCACCACTAGAGGGAGCTTAACACAACAAACAAAAGCATATTTTGATGATGTCGTGACTTAAGGCTGATTTATACTTCTGCGTCAAGCGCACGGGTATGCATCTGCACAGCCTTTGCTAGATCGTATAGCCCTGCTAATGCCGCGGCTGATGCGCACCTCTCAAACAATAACTACACACACAGCGACGCATAACGCAAGATCTGTGATTGGTCAGCTTGATACCGGTAACAAGCGTGGGCGGCGTTGAGAGCCGAGTCCTGGGAAGGAGCTCCAGATGGAAATTTTTGTTTTGTGTTTACCTTTATGATAAAGTTGTTGCACATCCACTGGTTCCCACCTCTAAATGAGTGAGTTTTAGCTACTTGTAGCATTCAGAAAAACAAAATACCCACAAAGAAACTCGACAGAGGAACATAAAAACCAACTGCCAGCAAGCATTTTGGAAGCGTTATTGCAGAGCAGCCCGAACAGCATTCACAACTATAAATGTATGTCTACGCGCAAAGCAGGCGCCGTGGGTCACGCAGATCATTTGGTGCAGAAGTATAAATCAGCCTTTGATGTGGAATCATGAGAGTTGTGGTCTTTGTTGCATTGTACAGGACTTCAGCTGAATCATTTTCACTGATGAGCTAAAGTACATTCAGTGTTAGGTATGTTACTTAAAAAAGTAATTAGTTACTTCAAAAAGGTAGTTAGTTACTTCTTACAAATAGTAACTGGGTTACCAGGGAATATAACTTAAGTTTACTTTTAAAAGAAAACTGTCAAACAAATTACTATTTGTCTTATAAATGTCTATATTGTCTATGGACAATAAATTACCCTGCAGGCAGAGGACATCAACATGACGTCATATTGACAATGTTACCCAACATACCCCAACGTCACAGGGAAATTAGATTTTGGGATGTTTGGGTTTGATGTCAGAACCCAAAATCAGGCCGACGTCAATGTCCAACCTGAAATCAACCAATTATCAACGTCTAATCATGTTACACCTTGATGTTGTGTGGACGTTACCACCATGGCATCTATCAGACATTCGATTTGGGTCACTTTCCAACACAACCTAAAATTAACCAAATATCAACGTAATTTAACGTCGCTTTTGGACGTCAAAATAACGATGCCCTTAGACGCTGGCTAGACTTTGAATTTTGGTCAGCTGACATCCTGACCTAAATCTACCCTCATATAAATGTCTTAAGATGTTGTGTGCTTGCTGGGTAAATAAACAAATATTATCAAACATTTTACACTAATATTATACAATATAATTGTTGCTGTGGGACAATCTATTAAATTATTTAATTTGTATTATTTTATTGCAAATATAATCATTTCTGTAGTGGAACTGTAAAACATAATAGATGGTTTACAATATATTTACCACAACTACCCAACAAAAAAGTCGAAAAATAAATAATGCTTCTCAAAAATGTATAGAGTATAAATATTTAAAGATTATTTTTAGAGCATTATTTAGAGTATTATTTTCATATTTATGCTATTGAGATCTTCCCACGGGTGAACCAAAGGTGTTTGAGCAGGGTTGCTACTAAACTGTGCAGGGCTGCGGCCCACCAGGAATTGAGTTTGACAACCCTGTTCTAATGTTTAAATCCTGGTATAACTGTGGTAAATCGTATTCGAGACCACCATGAGTCCACATTTTCTCTCACTGTCGCTGCATTCACAGCAAGCTGATGATATGGAAATGTGATTGTAAAGTACTTCATTAAAATGTGCTAACATGATTGACTGGTTTTGTAAATATTGATTATTTCTCCATGTCTGAACAGCACTAAAATTTTAAGCTTTAGTTGCTTTAAATCAGTGGCTCCATCTACCCCTTTGAAAGAGTCAACTTCATTTTTAGCCAATCATCAACAGTTATGTCGTTGTCCCACCCCTACACACACACAAATCATCATCAGTATATCAGTATATATATATATATATATATATATATATATATATATATATATATATATATATGTGTGTGTGTGTGTGTGTGTGTGTGTGTGTGTGTGTGTGTGTGTGTGTGTGTGTGTGTGTGTGTATATATATATATATATATATATATATATATATATATATATATATATATATAATACTGTTCTAGTGATTTTTGGATAATGTAATTTAAAATGTCTTACATATTGTGCCTTAAAAATGACTCAGTCAGTGACAATAGACTAAAATCTAGTCATCCTACAAAAAACTCTGACTCTTTAAAATGTTGCTAAAAAAAAAAGATCTATATAAATTAGGTGGGTCTTACAGGTTCGAAACACATCCATGCTTTACATGATAAGCATTCTTTTATACACATTTACATATTTATCAGCACAAAGATGCACAAAAACAAACTTTTTAGGTTTTTGTAGAAGCTCAAACAAACCTCATTGGTTCAGGCATAAAGGAAGCATGTTTCCGCTTCTGTGGTCAAATGACTGCTGTAAACATTCACCAAACAAAGCTTAAATGTTAATCCATGTGAATATTTTCATTTGTGTTTGGAAGATGAACAGATTTCATATAGGTTTGGAATGACATGAGGGTGAACAAATAATAACCGTTTTAATTTTGGGGTGAACTAACCCTTTAAGACACTAAATCACTAAACATTTTTCTTAATTTTTGGTTTTGACCTATTTACACCTGATTTATAAGGGATAGTTCACCCAAAAATGAAAATGATCATTTCCTCACAGTTAAGGGGGGTTTTAGTCACCTTGTTTGAGTTACTTTCTTCTATTAAACACAAAAGAAGGTATGCTTAAAAACTGCCAATGGCTGTTTTTCTTTTTAACATTCTTCTGAATGTCTTGTTTTTTGTTTAACAGAAGAAAGAAATTTAGTTGAAAAACACTTGAGTGTCAGTAAATGGTGAGTACATCTTTGAGTGAACTGCCTCTTTAAGAATCGATTTAATTCAATCATATGTTGTGAAACATGAAATGTTTCATTATTCTATCATTTTAAACCACATTACAGAGGTAGTCAGAAACGCATATATGACCACATGGCATTTGTAGTGTATAAAATCACTCATCAGTCTACCATTCATTGTGCTTGACAAGGTTCAAGATTCAAAAGAAAAGTTTACTCCTATGTACAGGTACAGTTGAAGTCAGAATTATTAGCCCCCCTGTCTTTAATTTCAACCCATTTCTAAACATAATAGTTTTAATAACTCATCTCTAATCATTGATTTATTTTATCTTTGCCGTGATGACAATAAATAATATTTGACCAAATATTTTTAAGACACTTCTATTCAGCTTAAAGTGACATTTAAAGGCTTAACTAGGTTAATTAGGTTAACTAGGCAGGTTAGGGTAATTAGGCGAGGTATTGTATAATGGTGATTTTTTTTCTGTAGACTATCAAAGAAAAAAAAATTGCTTAAAAGGGCTTTAAATTTTTACCCTAAAATGTTTTTTAAAAAATGAAAAACTAGTTTTATTCTAGCCGAAATAAAACAATTAAGACTTTCTCCAGAAGAAAAAATATTATCAGACATACTGTGAAAAACTCATTGCTCTGTTAAACATCATTTAGGAAATATTTAACAAAGAGGGGCTAATAATTGAACTTCAACTGTATATAAATTATTTGCCTGATATGAGGATATCAGATAACTTTATTGAAAGTAGCTAAATAGTACACACTCAGAAATAAAGGAACACAATCTGTCACTAGGGCCTTTAAGTTACTAAAAGGGTACACATTTTGTACACAGTGAAGTCACTAGCTCCATTGAGTGCATTGTGTTTGACATTGCATTAATGAGAGATGCATCATAAAGGCTGCATCCAGATACTATTGCCCCAGTGACAGATTTTGTACCTTTATTTCTGAGAGTGTAGCCAGGTGTAAATGGGCCATGGTCTTTGAGCATAACTAAAGGTAAATATTGTTTACTTTTGTTTAAATGCAATATCTATCTATCTATCTATCTATCTATCTATCTATCTATCTATCTATCTATCTATCTATCTATCTATCTATCTATCTATCTATCTATCTATCTATCTATCTATCTATCTATCTATCTATCTATCTATCTATCTTTTTAAAATTTTTACTCCTGTGAAACTTTCATTCTGTTGTTTCATGTTTTTGCAAGTGCTGTTTAACAGAGATTTTTTTCAACACATTTTTCAACATAAAAGTTTTAATAACTAAATTCTAATTAATATTTTTTTGTCTTTGCCATGAGGACAGTACATAAGATTGTACTAGTTATTTTAAGTATTTAAGTCATTGAACAAAAGTGGCTTGATATCTAGCCAATCGGAAAAAGGGAGCTAATAATATGAACCCTAAAAATGATATTATTATATATTTTTTGTTGCAGCCAAAAGAAAATAAAAACGCTTTCTTTGCTCTATTAAACATCACTTGGAAAATATTTTTAAAAAGAATACAAATTTCACCGGAGGGCTAATCATTTCTAATAATCTAAACATTTAATGATAAAACTGTATATGGCATTGATATATAAGTGCACCCCTAAACTAATGTTGTAATCCCACTAAAAATAAATCCACAGCTAAAAACAGGAGAACTGAATATTGTAGGTACATCCTTCACAAGAGCCGACCATTCTGTCAACAGCACTTCAGGTAGAGGCGTCACACTCAGTCTGTCAGAGGTAGAACTCTATGAACATGCTTGCATATTAGAATTGAAAGCCACAATGATCCCCATTCCCCATTCCTCCTTCAGATCACCTCATCCGCTGTAACTGGATATGAGCAATCGCTTGTGTTTTTGGCCTGTGGATGGGCCGGTCTCCCCCTATTGGGTTGAATGAGCGCTGCTGCTGCCTCCTCTTCACATGGAGATGCTTGTGTTTCTGACTCCCTCTAGAGGTCACAATTATGAGCTGCTACTGAGCCGTCTGCGTAACAGAGATGCTGGTTTTGTGCCTGTGTCCTCCTGATCACTCTCGCAGTCTCTCTAGGTGGAAAAAAGTGAAGAAATGCTTATTTATGTATAACAGTTAACAAGATATTTTTCACACAAAAATAAAAATTCTGTCAACATTTACTCATCCTCCACTTGTTCTTCTGTTAAACACAAAAGAAGATATTTTGAAAAATGTTGAGGTTTTTGTTTATTATTTTGTGTTTCACAGAGGAAAGACATCCATAATGGTTCAGAACCACTTGAGTGCCAGTTAATGGTGATGAAATGCTCATTTTCGGGTGAACTTCATCATTTTTTATTGCATTTACTGTCTAGAAACTGTAAAAAGGAACAGCGCTTTGAAATTTTTATTGTCTTTTTTAAAAAATTAATTAATTCATTCATTCATTTTCCTTTGGCTTGGTCCTTAATTTATCAGGGGTTGCCACAGCGGAAGGAACCGCAAACTACTCTGGCATATGTGTGCGAATACCCTTCCAGCCACAACCCAGCACCATGCTGGGAAACATCCATACTCTCTCTTAGGCCCTGTTTACACAAATACATTTTAGTTTTAAAACGCATAAGTTTTGCGGTTACGCCATCCGTCCACACTACGCTGGAGTTTTAGAGTTTTCCACTACGCGGAAGCGGGGCTGCAGGGGTTTTTACCTCAATATTAAGTAGCCTACACAAAGCTCAGTCTTGCATCCTCTCCTTGTAAGATCAGACATCGTAAGTTTAATATGGAAAACAAACTCCCGAGGACATGTCTGGTAAAAACTTCAAAGGTAACAGTGTACTTTATAACCTCATTCACAACACCCTGGCCCTGATCTTAACAATAAAATGAAAACAAGATATAAGGAATTGCCTATTTTCATTTTGATATTAGCAACTTCATAGACAACAAAAATGTTGAGGCGTTGTGTAGCTGCATATTTATAACATCTTGAAGACTGTCAGGAAGACTGTCATTTTCACTGTATGCATATTTAGAACAAAGCCAAGAGCCTATAAGATAACTGCCTCCTTTTATTTTCATTGAAAATATGAAACATACCCTCTCTTTTGCTCAATATCAATTTTAATAATCAATAATGGCCATTATAAAAGTATAACGTACAATAAGTTTATACATTATAGAAAATAAAGGCAAGCAATTAGTCAAATGTGCAGAATCAGTGTACGCGTAATGTACCATATTACATTAATTGATATATTAACTAGGGGTGTAACGATACACTCAGCTCACGATACGATGTGTATCACGATATAATGTTCACGATTCGATATGTATCACGATATTTGGAATAAAAATTGAAAATTAAACTGAAATGCAAATTTTACCAAGTAAACTATTTTTTATGTATTTCTTTTGTTTCAACTTGTTAAACTGAACCTTCTTTAAGAAAATAAATTAAACAGGCCTGTCTCTGGAAAATAAAACAATTAAAAAACTTCTTAAAAATATTATTGAAATGACAGAGACAAAATTAAGGAAAAATTTAAATAAAGGTGCAAAAAAATAAGCTTTCTATTCAATTGAATTTAACAGTAAGAGCTTAAGGCTTTGCTTGGTCACTTGCGTTTTTTGTGTGTGCAAAAAAAAATCCACATTTCCAGGTATTTAATTCATATTTAATTAAATTCATTTAGAGATATCTCTAATTACAATTGTGACCAGTCAAAACTCATTTAGAGATATCTGCAAATATTTTTCAATGGAAGTCAAAGGAGGAATATGACTAGTCATAATATATTTGCAGATATCTCCAATCTGATTTCGTACTAGTACAATTGTAATTGCAGATATCTCTAATTGTCATTCTGACTAGTCGAATTATAATTATGACTAGTCAAAATATAATTAGAGATATCTCTAAATATATTTATGGATAGTCAGAACAAAGGTTTAAATGCTAAAACGACTTGCCATACGCGCGCGTCTATCAAAGTCCGCCCTCTGTAGTAACAACTCACGTCAGCTCACGTCATGTGTGATTTTGCGGCCGCCAATACATCAATATATGAAGACAGAATGATATTTTAGGGTGAATTGTACCTTATAAATACAGTATGTGACTCTTTCAACACCATTAGGAGGTGTCCCTGTCGCTGTGCAAAGTAAATCACTGTGAAGACTTTAAAACTTAGGATGTTTGACCCAGTATGCGTGTCAAAAAGCGAGCGAGTCTAAAGCAATGACTGTACAACCGAAATGTTGCCAGACGTCTGATTTTGAGAGGATGGGCCATCCTCTATTTCGGCTCCACTCATCTTGGTCTGCTAACATTACTGCTGCTGCAATCTGAACTCACGTGCGACAGCAGGTGGAACGTAGCTCACGTGCAAACAGCTCAACTAATAAGAGAATACGGACGTCATATCGTAATCAAATCGTCATAACGCCACGATGCATATTGTGACATTTTTGCATCGCAATAAATCGTACAACGATAAATCGTTACACCCCTAATATTAACCTATCTTTGCGCTCAGCCTAAACACATTACCTGAGAAAAAGTAATAGATTCAAAAGACCAAAACTAGAAAATATGTTGCTAGGTTTAGACAACAAGATGAATTAAATATCACATTTAACAAATATAGTGAGATTAGATCCAACGGTAGATCCTTGATGTACAGTCTGACATAAACAGCTCCCATCTGGGTAGATGTGCTCAAAGCACCCGCTGACTGCCTGGAGCTCAGACGCGCGCATATGCTGAAGTGCATGCAAGAGTTTGTGTGAGGTCATAAGATGTGCGTTTTCAGCAGTATAGTGTGGACGGAGAGTTGTTCAGAAACGCTAGCTGAAACGCCAGTGTGATCATTTTCACTCTAAAACTCTGCATTAAAACTAAAACGTATTAGTGTAAATGGGGCCTCATTCTCACACACACTCATGTAAATGTACCTTTACTAAATAAAAGTATTATATAGTTCTATAGTTACAAATAAGATCTCAGTGCTCTAGTAATATCTCAATCAAACTAAAATTAATCTTAAATTAAAAATGTGATTAATTTATCCAGAACTTAATTGTTGTGTTTATTGTAATGTCTTTCATTTATGCAAATGATATGTATTTATTTCTTTAAAGTATATTAAGTAATTATGTGAAATAACATATAAAACTAAAATTCTTTACAGTAAAAAAGTAATATAATTTTTTATCATATCCAGACAACATACAAGAAAATATAAAAAAATATATTTTAGAAATTGAGCAATTACTCTAAAAGGTTAGTGTGCTTACAGTACGCTCTTTAAAATGTCACAAGACAAACATTCTAAAGAATAATAATAATTAATAATAATATTTTTCTTGCTTAATTGCTTGAAATTTAAATAAATGATTAGAAACTACTTATTCAACCTCCCCATAATACATTCAGTTTCTTATTCTTCTAAACATGTTTTTCTTTTGACTATTTAAGTGTTTGAAATTTAAAATTATTAACATGCTTTTTTCCCAGTACTTGGTTGTGGCTGAAAGGGTTTCCACTGCATAAAACATATGCTTGAATAGTTGGTGGTTCATTCTACTGTGGCTGATGAAAATTGAATGAAATATAAAAATTGCACTCATACCAGTTCTTGTTGCTCTGTACCACGAGCTTTACACAGTATCTGCAGTCGACACAGCCGGTTGCAAGCCGAAACCATGTTAAAGGACATCTAAAATAAGGAAATAAACATAAAAAAATACAGATTTAACAAGCATTGCAGTCTATTCAGACATAAACAGAGCAAAGATTAATGCAAAGACTGAACAGCAGGTGTCTCTCTTTACATTTCTGACTGCTGTTGGTTAGAGAAGTGAGTCATCTGAGTCAACTAAGGTAAGGTTAACATTAGCAACTTGTTTGGACTCTTAAAGAAACAGTTCAGTCATTTTTACACTGCTTTACTGAAGCTTCTTGTGTACAAAAGCATGTAAAACAGCAAGAAGATGAATAACACATCTAAGCGTAATAATCTTTTTAGGAGACATCATGATGATTAAAAAAGTCTATATGATTGCATGATGTGAAACATCTCTGTCAAATAAACAGATAAATAGAATGATGCAATAGCACAGAATCAGTCATAGAATCTATGGACAGGTTGATTGAAAGAGACTGAAAGACAGTAACAACAAAGAAAGATGCACAAATAGTAATGAAAAAAGCTGGTTTGTGGGTGTCGCAAGTTACACCCTTCAGCCAATAACAAGTCTCGATGACCATGATGACAAAACACACAGCGGTGGTGTCTAAAAAACAAGCACACAAACACAGACCTTCCATTTCCTCCTAGCGTTGAACTTCTTAAAGTTCTTCATGTTGATGGAGGAGCGGTTCCTCTTCGCTATCTGAGTTCTATTGAGAGGCTGCAAGAACAAAGAAACAGATGTGAAACACTGTAAGTCATAAGTGTTTTATAATCATACCACAAAATACTACTGTAAGGAAATAAAAAGAGGAAAGGTGAAGGTTTAGTCATCCCACCTTAATCCAGGGGTGAATGAGACACTCTTCTGCTGTCATTCTTTCACTAAACACAAAGGCAAAGAAGTAGAATAACAATATTTAACTCTGAAAAAGGATCCAACAGGTAAATAGTTTCACAAAGCTGTTAAAAATGTAAAAGAGCAACTTGATTTAGGTATAATGATCTGACACAACCTAGAGATTGTTTGAGTTTTTAAAGATAGACAGATTGGTTGATTGATTGATTGATTGATTGATTGATTGATTGATTGATTGATTGATTGATTGATTGATTGATTGAAATTTATTTCATGCATCTCATTTATTCATTCATTTTCTTGTCGGCTTAGTCCCTTTATTAATCCGGAGTCGCCAAAGCGGAATCAACCGCCAACTTACCCAGCAGGTTTTTATGCAGCGTATGCCCTTCCAGTCGCAACCCATCTCTGGGAAACATCCACACACACTCATACACTATGGACAATTTAGCCTAACCAATTAACCTGTACCACATGTCTTTGGACTGTGGGGGAAACCGGAGCACCCGGAGGAAACCCATGCGAACGCAGGGAGAACATGCAAACTCCACACAGAAATGCCATCTGAGTTGAGGTTCAGACCAGCGACCCAGCGACCTTCTTGCTGTGAGGCGACAGCACTACCTACTGCGCCACTATGTTGCTCCTTTCATACATCTCTTTAAATGCAAATGAGTAATCTCTACATTTTTTTGAGTCATGGATTGGACCATTTTTCGGATCAGTAAAAAAGAGAGGAGACAAATGTCCTTTGTTTTTCATTTCTACAAAATGATAACAGCAAAAAAAAAAAAACATTGGTTTTAACAAACAACTTAGAACCTGTAATTTTCTTAAAAATAAAAATCAAGAAAGAACCAGCTGAAAAAAGAAAAATAATCAATATGAAAAATGATCTTTGCTACTGGGCGATGCAGTGCCGCAATAGATAGTGCTGTCGCCTCATAGCAAGAAGGTCGCTGGTTTGAGCCTCAGCTGGGTCAGTTGGCGTTTCTGTCTGGAGTTTGCATGTTCTCCATGCATTTGCATGGGTTTCCCCCGGGTGCTCTGGTTTCCACAGTCTAAAGACATGCGGTAAAAGTGAATTGGGTTGGCTAAATAGTCCATAGTGTATGTATGTGTGCGAATGAGTGTGTATGGGTTATAGTAATATAGTATATAGTATACAGCATATAGTAAAACATATGCTGGATAAGTTGGCGGTTGATTCCGCTGTGGTGACCCCAGATTAATAAAGGTACTAAGTCGAAAAGAAAATGAATGAATGAATCTTTGCTACTGTTGCTGACAATGCTAAATATAGAAATCTAACATCTTGTATAACACATATTTATTTTCAATTAATGATTCAACAACTCACACATAAAACTTCATGTTTCATTATAGGTGGATCATTTTTGAAAACCTATTCAGTGACATAATTTTGATGGATGTTTGTCGCCACCCATTGGTTACACAATGTAATTGCTACAACATTCACCAGCGTCAGGTTCCATTAAATGGTGTTTTTAATCTTGACCATAAACATTAGTTTATATCTGAACTATAAACTTCTCCCGGTACTTCTTATTTAATTGTATGTAACTAACTGAAAAAGTATAAAAACTGAATCTCTTGATCAAACGCAGATTTGAATGCAGCGCTTCGAAGGATTAATAAACATGCAAATCATTATCATTTATCATTCATGTTGCGCAGGTTTGAACTGAGATCACAATCTTTTAATGTTTACTTGTGCAGCTTGAACATAATGCATTAATGCAGGCTAAACATACTTAAAGAAAACACCTTTAACAGATAACATCAAGTATTTAGGTATGTCCCACAACTTAGCTCAGGCAACCTGAAAATATGCCGATTTGACAATTGTTGCTTATTGTTGCTTATTTTATTAGTGATTCCAAATATGTAATGTAATCGAAAGCTTGCCAAACAGTTTAATGTTTCCCCATCCAGAAAGACTGCCTGAGCATACTGTCTGAGTGAAATGACTTGCCTAAAAGGGACTTTGAATGTATGCAGCAAATTTGACCGTTATGGTCATATATTTTAAATATATATTTGGAGTGTTTAACCTTTATTGGAATAAAACAGTGAAAAGAGAGACAGGAATGCATGTTGACAATATTTTTCAGCGAGCAAAATCAGGGCTAAAATCGTGCAGTGTGATCTCGGCATAACAGTAATAAGTACATAAATGTTTTGGGAAATGTTGCTTCACTCAAAACCATCATTTATCTTAGCCATTTATTATTACCTCTGGTCTTTAACTAGTAGTTTCTGGATGAAGTCTTTGGCCATGTTGGTGGTTTGGCTGAAGAAATGAGGCTCAAACTCATAGTTCATTGACACAATGTTTCTCAGCGTCTCTTCATCCGTCTCGCCTTGGAACGGTGACAGGCCACTCAAACTGATGACAAAAATATACATAAATACCACAAATATACATATATATATATATATAATTGAAGTCAGAATTATTAGCCCCCTTCAAAAAATGTTCTTCTTTTTTAAATATTTTCCAAATATTTAACAGAGCAAGGATATTTTCACAGTATGTCTGATAATATGTTTTCTTCTGGAGAAAGTCTTTTTTGTTATATTTCGGCTAGAATAAAAGCAGCTTTTAATTTTTTAAACACAATTTTAGGGATAAAATTATTAGCCCCTTTAAGCTATATTTTTTTCTCGATAATCTACAGAACAAACCACTGTTATTCGATAACTTGCCTAACTACCCTTACCTGCCTAGGTAACCTAATTAACTCAGTTAAGCCCTTAAATGTCACTTTAAGCTGTATAAAAGTGTCTTGAAAAAATGTCTAGTAAAATATTATTTACTGTCATCATGGCAAAGATAAAATAAATCAGTTATTAGAGATGAGTTATTAAAACTATTATGTTTAGAAATGTGTTGAAAAAATTTGCTCTCCGTTAAACAGAAATTGGGGAAAAAATAAACAAGTGGTCTAAAAATTCAGGGGGACTAATAATTTTGACTTCAACTGTATATATATATATATTTGGATTTGCCTAGACTAGAGAATCTAAAAGAGACAGCACAAGTTTTTTATTAGATCGATATTGAAGTTTCTATGAAAGCTGACACATGTAATATCCCTCCACAATAACCTGGGGTTGTAGAAATTATTAATATAAAAAAGGACACGCTAGATTTAAGATGAACCTCCTTATCCCTGGTTAAAGCTGAAAGGCTCACAGTGAGCAATCTGTTGGTTATCTCCTCTATATCTGGTGTGCTTCATTTCTGACAGAACTGATCTCATCCCACAGGACCTGACCTATAAACTTGACAAAACACACTGCTTGTCAAAGGAGGCTTTCTTTCAGAGCTGAATTATATCCCAGTTCAAATATGAATGTGGGGAGAAGGACTTTGGTGTTCAGAATGAATCTAAAAGGATTCACTATCAGGGTTATGTTATGATGAACAATGGAAGATTACTTACAGAATGTAGGTAATGACACCGATACTCCTGGAAAAAAAAAAGCACAAGAACATGCAAACATGAATAAATGAATTGGAAAGTTTATTCTAATGTATTTATCATGCAAAATAAAAAATTTGAATAACTAAAAGATCATTTCTATTTACTGTTAATTGAGTGCGTGTGACGAACAACCATGTAAGTCCAAAAAAAAAAAAAAAAACAAGATCTCTGCGTGACATTATAGTATGTGTGAACTTTGTATACACAAACAATTTGGGGATATTTTAGTGCGACCATGAGTCTGCATTTTAAACATTAAAATAGCTTCACTCGGAAAAAGAAACGTTTATAGAGGAACAGAGATGCCGCTGATCTCTCTCTGTGAATGCGCAGAGGAGCGCTAAACACCACAAAACAGTTAACATATCAAAATAAACAACATACCACATACAATAAAGCTGTATCAATGCATATTTCCCGCCAGTCCTGTGTAAACTACAGCAAGCAGAGTTTATTTGTTCATCTATTTGTTTATGTCGTGAGATGGAAGAGCGCAAGAACAGTTTGAAGTAGTAAATACACAGGTTTATTTTCTAAATAAATGACAAGGTGCACTATTGGAGCTAACATACAAGAAGCAATTAAAAGTTCAGAGACTATGCCCATCATGATAAAGATTGATTTATTTATTGTTTGTTTGTTTGTTTGTTTATTGTTGATTATTGATTGTTAGTGCCTTTACTGTAAGAAGGTCTATGCACTGTACATTGCTCATACTGTATTTTTTGTATTTAAATAATAATAATAAAAGACTTGAAAGAAATGCTTAATATTAACATGAAGTTTCTGTTGTATTAAAACTAAGATAAAGGAATCAGATCTTTAGAGGTTTAAAGCAGGGATTCTCAACTAGTGGGCCTCATCGATCCTGCAGATGGGCCGTGAGACAGCTTAAAATTCATTCATTCATTTTCTTGTCAGCTTAGTCCCTTTATTAATCCGGGGTCACCACAGCGGAATCAACCGCCAACTTATCCAGCATGCTTTTACGCAGCGGATGCCCTTCCAGCCGCAACCCATCTCTGGGAAACATCCACACACTCATTCACTATAATTATATATATATATATATATATATATATATATATATATATATATATAATTATTATTATTATTACAATATTTTTGTAACATTTTTTCATAAATTATTTTCCATACAATATATAAACAGTAATAAATAAAACATTTAACATAAATATTTTACGCTTGATATTTTAATATAATATTAAACAAAACAGTATTTTATAAAAAACTCTTTTAATTAAAATAAAAACATTTATATAAAATAAAAAAATATATTCAAATATTATACATTTAAAACTGATAATAATAATATAATATTTGAGCAGATTATCATTCTAATTATAGCTTAAATCTACATTATATTATATATTACAATATTTAGATAAATCTAATTATTAAAATCGTTGATATACAAACTAATCTCACAGCTCTTAAAATAATAAATTACTATTACAATCATTAAATTAAATGAAGCCAAATTATGAAAATAAAAAAATAAATAAAAAATGTCTTTAAAAAAATGTAATACAAAGGTTAATACCCACAGCTACTTTTACTTCAGATTTTATGAAATAACGTCCTCTATAAAATAAAGCCATGGCTTTATCTTTGTTAGTGCCATGCTCTACCAGCTGAGCTTCAAGAATGAATGAGATGTAAACCCAACATGTTTTAAGCTAACATTATGCTAACCAGATATGAACTGTTGTCTTTGGCTCGGCACATGGCAGCTACTGCGTTTTGTCAAAAGCTAAAATAGTTTACCTTCTGACAACATTTTGCACACGACATCCACATTTAGCTGGATATTGTGTTGAAGAACTACATATACATGCTGAGACAGATACACACATTAAACGAGCACCAGTAGATGCCGGAGGAAGACGAATCAAGTCTGAACATGCCCGAAAAGTCCCTTATAGCTATATTTGAATTAAGGTATGAGTGCTTGTTACTAATCTTACCACATGTCTGCAGCCGTACCGAGAGGTTCATAGTTGATGATCTCAGGCGCTGAAACACAAAGTAAAAACATTTTAAACAAAATGAAAGCTCTACAACTCAAGCTCACATAACCTTCAGCATTTTTCTACATTAATCAAACATTTCCCAGCCTTGGCCAGACAGAGGAACATTTTTAAGAAGACAAACTGAAAAGAAAAAGGACATGATTAAGTGCATTCTTTGAGAGTAGCGGCTCGTGTTTACGTCGCAGCAGATGACTGTGCTCACTTTGGAGATTTTTTAAAATATGCACAAGTAATATGAAGACATGTTCAGAGGAATAGAAGATCGCTGGTTCGAGTCCCAGCTGGACCAGCATTTCTGTGTGGAGTTTGCATGTTCTCTCCATGTCTGTGTGGGTTTCCTCCGGCTACTCTGGTTTCCCCCACAGTCCAAAAACATGCGGTATAAGTAAATTGAGTAAACAAAATTGTGTATGACTGTGTGTGTGAATGAGAGTGTATGGGTGTTTTCCAGTACTGAATTGTAGCTGGAAGGGGATCCACTGTGAATATGTGCCAGAATAGTTGGTGGTTCATTCCGCTGTGGCAACCACTGTTAAATAAGTGATTAAGCCGAAGGAAAATGAATAAATGAATGAGTATCAATATAACCTGCGAATAGAATGTTGTAGTCTTTTTGTGCTTTCGGATCAATCTCACAGGCTCAACGTGACCCTAAAGAAACACACTTTTAAAAAATAAGCTCATTTTACAAGTCTTCTAGTGTAAAACAATTGAGTTTTACTGTTTTTTAATCCATTCAGACGACCACTGGGTCTGGCAAGAGCACTTTTAGCTTAGCTTTGCATCGATCATTAAATCAGATTAGGCCATCGGCATCTAGGGTTGCCTTGCACACTTTACAATAAGGCTGAAATAGTTAAGCTAATATATTTACTTATGAACTTAATGCTAATACTTTAATTTTTAACATTAACACATTTATAATTTAAATTCAACACCGGGCTTGTTAATATAATTTAAAAAGCCTAACAATAAATGAATACTTTTATAAATGTACTTGAATATTATGTGATGTAATTAATGTACTGTTCATTGGTTGTTCATGTTAATGCATACATTAACTATCATTAACTAATGCAGATCAAACAAAAGACAAAATAGTACATTGAAAGAGCTGTGCAATGCACTGTACAAAAACAGTGTGTTGAATTTTATTTTAATATTTTTTATGTATATCTATGTAATTAATTAACTAATTTTGATACACCTTTTCATTTGTTTGTTTAATTCCTGATGTTTTAGAATAAGTTTGTACTTTTCCTTATATGTTTTACTTCTGAAATAAAAAGCCAATAAATGTAATTATTTAAAAACGAATCAATAAATAATGCATCTTTATTGTAAAAAGTTAAACCAGCGGAATAACAACATAATTATTCTCTACAAACCAAACACTAACTTTCCATTAAGACAATTTTCTTGATTAAAAACAAAATCAAAATAAATATGTTCCCACATTTACTCACCCTCATGACTACAAACCCTTTGAACAACATGAGGGTGTGTGTACAGTGAATTTTTAATTATAATCAGTAATTTTGGGTAACAGTGCATTTAAAGTGGATAAATTTGAAGTGAAAGTCTGTTTTATATGACAAAGTCCTGGTGATTGTTTAGGTTTCGAGGATTTTGGGAGCTGACGGTAGTTCTGACTCAGGAACTGGAAACTCACTGAGATCACAGTTGGTCATATCTGCTTAAAAAAAACACTTAACCTCTAGTTGTTTACAAAGGACGTCCTCATGATAAGTGAAGTAGTCACTTTGAACAAAGGGTCTGCTTTATATCAGGCAGCAGACTATTTCTGCCCACTCACATGAAGAGATAATTCAAAACTTGGTTTGACCAATATGGTATTAAGTGTTTGCACCATGCAAATTCTTTAGATATAGCTTATTTTAACTATAAGTGATATGAACATTTAATCATTTAATTATTTTTTAATTTCATATTTCTCAGGAAACAAAACCACAAACATTTTCAGATCAACGCCTTTCTCAATGTGTAAAACAATTTACTCCCTCCACCCTGTTTTTAAGTCAATCACACTTAAGTCATCAATTATTAATTATTCAGGGTTTCTGCAGGTTTCAGCAAGTTAAATCTAAGACTTTTAAAGACCATTATGAATGAAAATTTAGACTCATGAAGGGCTAAACGCTAAAGAGTTTGTCAAATTGCCCAGATAAAAAAGATTTTTATTTGCTGTATCAAAAGAATTATTACAATTTAAGACATTTAATAATAAAAAACAACAATAATAATAATAATAACAAAAATGTTATACTTTAGATATTGTGTCATAACAAGCAAGATCTGGTTATATAAACATTTTTTACAACATAAACTTTCTTTAAAAAACATTTTTTACAAATGTTTTAAAAGTTTTGAAAACTATAATAAACTAAATGTATGCACAACAATCTGTCCAGGTCATTGTCCTTAGCTGTAAATACATGGGGAACATGTAAACAAATGTTATTGGAAGGAAAATTATTTCTTTAAATAAAAAATTTTAGGTTTGGATTGTTGGTGATTGGATGAATATTGGCCACATTGGGTAGCAATGCATAAACAAAGAAAAATTAAGACCTGTTTAAAAAAGATTTAAGACCCACAACTGAATATTTCAGAAGATTTAAGACTTTTTAAGGCCTAAAGTTTTGTTCATCAAGGACACCCTAATTATTTTAATCATTAAAAACTTATAAATTACTTAAATTATATTACTAGTCATAATACCAATACTGACACTCGCAGTTTTTTACTCTCCCATTTACAGTAAAAAGATAATAAATATTTTAAATGTTTATTATAGGAAGTAATTATAATTCACAGGAACTAGTAACTAGTTTACTACATTTTATTATTTAATATATGATGTTAAAATTATGAAGATTTGGTAACACTTTATAATAACTACACACTATGAATAATTTATTAAGCATTACCATCTAGTGAACTCATCATTTGTTAAGCATTAACTCCTCATTAATAAACATTAGTAAGCAGTTTATAGCTGCAGCTACAAATGCTTTGTTATTGACTTATAACTACATTTATAATGTGCCTAATAATTGTACTTCCACAATTTGTGACTGGTTGATATTTCATTACTAAATTAAGTATTGCAGTGTTTATAAACCATTTGTATTTAAAAGTAGTTGGAGGTTTTTAAGATCATAATTCAGAATTAGTAAATGACAAATGAACTATTGAAAGTACTGTTTATATATCTTATTATTCAAGCACTTGAATAGAAAGCATTCTACGACAATACACGTCACCAAATACATGGTGGTCCAACTCAGCCTAAACAGGCTAAATTGGACTTTTGTGCAAGATCGGGAGTGAAGGTACCTTCTGAATGTGAATAGAAGCATTTAGCTGCTTGGGGAAGTTCACATATCTTGTCTTTTAAGTGAGTGCGCATATTGACCGATCAGCTTCATACTTTAGAATATACACATTTCAGTAGACTAATTACCTCAGACAAACACAGAAGACCCAAACACTGCAGTGCATTTACATACTATAGATGTCAATGGTTACAGGTTTCTAAGTTTCTTTATGTCCTTCTTTTGAAGAAAAAAAAGACAAACAGGATTGGAACAAGTGAATGATGAGAGAATTTTAAGTTTTGGATGAACTCTTTAAGTCCTTTGAATATGTTAAGCTGCTGTGATAAACCTATTGTAATGTTTTTTAGTGATCATCAAATCACTGAAAGAGCTGCAGTATATTTTGTATTTTTATAGGTATATTTTATATGTTTTAAAAGTAACTTAAAAAGTAAAGTAATTAGTCATCGGATTACTTTTTACATGAAGTAATTAGTAATGTAATTAGATTACAGTTTTCCTGTAGTAGTTAGTAATTTGTAACCGATTACTTTTTAAAAGTAACTTACCCAACACTGCACATAGCTAATAAAATAAATGTAATTATATGTTTATCATTTAAGATGTTATTTAAAATTTATTTGTATTGTTTAATATTAATATTAACTATACCTACTGTTTCAGATTTTCTATTTATTGTTGTGACCAGGGCTTTACATTAACTTTTTTGATCACCAGCAACTGTGGCTAGTACATTTCCAACATTACTAGCCACTTGCCATTTTCACTAGCCACAATTTTGTTGCTTGGAAAATATATTTTGTATTAATATAAGTGACTTTGACATGCTAAAATGACTTGATTTAGATGTTGTGTGGTCCACATGCCTCCTCATTTATTTCATTTATTTCTGTTTGTGTGTGTTGTGTGTGAGCTTGCTCAGTGTGCATGAGCAAATGGGTTGTGTCGCATTGCAATTGGTTTTTATTTAACATGACTTTTTTAGGGCTCAAAATTAAGGATTTACCAAATTTATCTCTGACTACACCAAAAAGAATAATTATTTCTTAGTCACACATTTTGAATGTGTCAAAACAAGCAAATATATAGCTGTATATATGCACTTTTTATTCAGCAAAACTTTCCTTTTTTTTTTTAATTGACATTTTAAAAAGTATCTAAAATATGCACAGTAATCTGTCTTGGCTAAAGGTCCCAGATCAGCAGTTAACTACACATAAATGGGAAGTTAATCTCATATTAAAACAATGTTATTACAAAGGATGATAATTAAACTATAGTAACAAAATAAGTAAGCAAAAGAAAGCAGGTAAAAACATACGAGTGATAATGAAAGGATGATCAAGTGCCTGAGAATAATTCAAACGAAAGCAGTGACTGCTGCTGCTTACAAAAGGTTTGCTGCTTACACGAGCATCGCTTTTTGTCTAGTTTATTTCAAAGAGAACCGATCGCACCAGTTGCGCTTCCTCTACACACGGTTGTTTCGCGCAAGTAAACGGGAGCTTGCCCGCGCGCTTTTTAACAGTCGCGCCCATCACATCACCTGTGCGCACGAGTAATCATCCTCTCATAAGGTATTTACCAGCTTTTGCTCACGCAAACACGGTTATTTTTGTCA